CGCCCAATCGTCGTCAACTCACCGAGGCCATTCCATACTTATCCATTAGTTTTCATGGAACATCAGAACAGACACAAGTGCTCATACACGTGCATACACTCACCCTATATGGACACACACGCACACCCTACCCCTTGAATGCGCATCACCGAAAATCCTGAAATAAATCCAGAAATAAATGCGAGCACCAGAATTTAAACCCTGGTGGGCTGGGGATACCACACTCCCTCTAACCATTCAACCACAGGTTGGTAAGCTTATCCATATGTTGAGGGACAAAATTAGACTTTTCACTTTTGACAAATACGGCACTGTTATTTCTTTGAACTGAATACCAGACTGTCTTGAGATTGTTTCGGTAGATACCACGCTGATAGTACCAGTCGTGTTTTCTTTCGTTTGACACACTATGTTTTCTTTGGGTGCGCCTAATTGGCGCTCTCAGCGCAGGTTAGCCATCCTGGAGCTCGAAAGGAGAGATATAGCGGGCCAGCCAAGAAAAACGCGAAATCAGCGGTCGCTCGCTCGCACGTATCTTTTTCCCTTTGAGTCGGGGCTCGAATGCATTTGGATGGTACACCAGTTTGCCCATTGACTTTTGGAAGAAAAATTAAATCATAGATCTGGTATTTTTTTCCCAAATTGAGAAAAGTTCGTGAGTTTCAGAAAAAAACTGAAATAATTTGCAAAAAAGGAAAAGCAATCTATGAATTCAAACTGTTCAGGGAGTTTGAATTTTTTTTATGAGTTTGAAAAAAGGTCATTGATTTTGAAAAATAGTTCATCAATTTTGAAAAAAGTTCGCAAATTTGAAATAAACGTTCATTGATTTCAAAAAGAAAAGTTCACAAATCGGAAAAAAGTTCATTAATTTTGACAAAAGTTCATCGGATTTGAATAAAAATTCATTGAATTTTATTAAAAAGTTCACTAAAATAGAAAAGTTCATTGGTTTTGAAAAAAAGCTAACCGAATTTGATAAATGTTCATTTAAATTGAAAAAATTTCATCAGTTTTGAAACAAATCATTGATTTCAAAAAAATTCATGAATTTAAGAAAATAAAGAAGAAATAGGAAACAAAAAAATAAAGAAAAAACATGAAAAATGTAGGGGAGAGGGGCATTTCCTATACATATAAATTTAAAAAAAGTACGTATTCGCAAGCGTCAAAGTGGCATAGTGGTTAGTGTCCTTCACTTGGAAGGAAGAGATTGTGGGTTTGATCACTGTCGACCGCACCCTGCGTTTGAAGCGCCAAATAGGGTTTGGCATTTTCTTTGGCAAAGTTTGACTCATTATGCGGCCACGTTTTATTTTTGATTGCATAGTGGGCCTGTTGTATGGATATGTTCGATTGAGCCAAAGGAGACCTCATTGATATTTTGATTAGCCAATATGTTTGCTAAGGTGATGTATTTCCTTTTTTTTGCCAAAGGAAAATCAACTCGAGTTAGCTACATAGTATAGGCATAGACAATATTGGTCAACAAGCAAGATCAATATTTTGGTCATTATTAAAATTTAGTGGGGTCATAAACCAAACGAACAAGTATAAGATTTATTTATTTTGCTAAAAGGCCCCAGAACTATTAGGAAGGGTTGTAAGAAGTGCAATGCACCCCCAACACATAACAAAAAAAATACATCAAGGACCTTGTATTACCGAACAACTACTACTGCCGCCAGAATGAGCAGCGGATATGCTACTATCGCCGCTCCTCCAGTACAGTTGGCTTGACCTTATCGATGACGCCCGGGAAGTCTTCGTGAAATGCCCATAAGGACTAGCGTTCCAGAGCCACAGTTGTCGCCATCGAATCCTTGAATTGATCTGAAGCGTCTGGCACCAAATCTCGCAAGCACACACGCACGGCGAGAAAAGCTAACCTCGCTGACCCAAAGAGTTGGTAAGTATGTATGTTAGAGCTTCGTCGACTCTATCCTCATGGACAAACTCAATCAGAGCCTGAATGACCAACTAGAAGATGAAGCGCGCCATTCGGCGGAATGCCGCCCCTACCAGAAAAAACCCTAACCTAAAGCATCGGCCGCTTGAGCGGTATGTGGATCACGGGCTCACCGGTGAAGCTTGACTGGGGGGACTGGGGGGATTAGTGCCCTAGCCACCTCAGATGCGAGAGGGAGAGAGGAACCCTATAACTAAGGGATAAAAACTAAAACTAGTACAGAATTATAGAATTTCTTCTCTCTTATATATTTTTTACAATAAAAAAGTAAGGTTCATGTTCCGTTCCTTCCTTCACATACCCCCTTTTTG